GAGAAAGTTCAGTGATAATCAGATTACATAACTACTATGAAGAGTCAATAATCTTTGACTATTTTTATGATTTGTTTATCACTGAAAAGTTCTTCTTGGTTTTTTACTGAGTATGAGAAATCATTGACTTTGATTGATTCTCTGAGCAAGGATAATAATATATGAAACATAAGTTAACATCAGTTTGAAAAACATCAGACTGAGAAACAAGAAACTGATTCTAAAAAATAGAGATATATGTAAATCTGATAACTCAAGTCAAAATATTTGATGATGCTGATACAAATGAAAATTCCATTGAAGCTATGCTGCAATGACAAGATATTCTGACATTTTGAGATCTTATGAGTGATGTTTCTGAATATCAACAAATTATCAGAGATGATTTTGCAGAGACAATTCAGAATACTCTGACAGTTAAAAAAAGATGTATGATGAAAGATGTGTGAGAGAAGATGCAGAAAAAGATAAAATTTTCAGATACACTTCTGATAAAAGACAGATCTGTGATGTAGAGTGTTCAGTGATACAGAGAGTTCTGACATAACTTATTTCTATTTCAATATATTTAGTTTTCTATGAGTTTTATATATAAATTAGTTAATATATACTTTAATATATATAATTAGAATATACCTGTCTTGATATTCACTGATGAAAATTATCATATTCTCTAAAATTTGTATAATTATGACTGCAGCAGAATCACTGATTTCACTGCACTAGAAAATCTTCTTATTTATCTGAAATTCTGTAGATATATTTCTGACAGTATATTGAACACTTGTTTCTGATTAATAGAAATGATTTTATATTCAAAATAGCTGTAGTTCATTCAATGATAGCCTGCACAGAAAGTATTTGTTTCAAAAATAAGATATGAATAGAATCTGTCAGATGTACTGATTGATTGTGTTCAGAAGTCTTCTAAAATATAAAAGTATTATAAAAGAATCAACAATACATATAAAGAGAATGTTAACTTGTCATTCTTCTTTTCTTTTCTTTCTTCTTTCTTCTCACAATCATATCACAATGTAAACATTGATTTATCAGTTCATTCAGCTCACTCAGTCTTTTCTTATCTTCAGTAAGATTAGTATTCTGCCAGTTGCAATAGAAAGCTTTAAGAATCAAAAGTTCTAATATAAGATACTGTGTGTGCACAGTACAGTAAGAATATCAGTGAATCATTGCATCAGCATCAACAACAGCACTAATAACAGTATTAATAACAGCATCAATAACAGTATCAACAACAGTATTAATAACAGCATTAATAACAGTATTAACAACAGCATCAACAACAGTAATAATAATAATAACAGCAGTACAAATAATCAGCAATACTCTCAAGTGTACACATGCAGCAGCTGCAAAAGCACAAGAGAAAGAGACAGTGATCAGACTGAAAACTCTTAATCAGTCAGACAAGTTAATAATATGTGAACATTGCATCTTATATATCTTTCTCTGTTATATTGATGCTGTTTGTGACAAAGTTGAAGAAAGTACAAAGTCATATTCAAACTGCAACTATGAAAAGAAAGATTGTGTGATATGTCTCAATGAATTCAAAGATGAAATTAAAAATCTAGTCTGAACTCATGAGTTTTATCTTATCATTTCAACAGTTATGAAGAAATCAGTTAAGTCAGTCATGCTGAAGACAGTGAAGGATTTATTCAAGCAAATCAAGAAAGCAAAGACACATTGACAGAAAGCAGAAAATCAAAAAATGAAGAGTGTAGCTATTATATTGAAAGTCTTAAATACATCTATCAGTTTCACTGAAAAAGTCAAACTTGAAATTGAGAAGATTAAGTTGAATATTGAAAGAGTCAAATTAAAGATTAAAAAGAAGAAAATTGCTATGAAGAAGAAGAAAATTGTTATTGAAAAGATAAAATTAAATATTGAAAATATAAAGCTTACTATTCAGCAGAAGATCTTGAGATCAGTTAACAATTATTATAAGAGTTAAAAAGCAGCAATGAAAAATCTCACAAACTTAATTAACAGTGTCAGAGAGAAAGTGTAGCACATTTTCATTGAAATGTATGAAATAATAAATCAATTTGAAATAATTATCAAACTTCTTAGTAATACAGTCAATGAGAGCAGCAGTGATAAGAAATCTATTAATAGTGATAATTCTCTTTCTCTCTCTACAACTCTCACTGATCTCTCTGTTATCACTGTCAATTCTTCTCTCTTCTTCTTCTTCAATCTTCTGACTCTGATGAGTGTTCTGAGTTCTCAGACTTATGAAATAATCACTGAAACAGTAAGCTAGAGTTGATGAAATGATTCTCAGATTTATTCAGAGATTAATAATTGTATAGACTTTCAAATGCCTGATATCTGATTATCTTAAAACCTCAACTTTCAAATATCAGATGACTGATGATAGTGTCTCTCAGATCATGACTAATCTGTAAACCTCAATTCATAAGTTCAGTGATGTGATCAATGAGAGCAACATAGCTGAAAATGAAGACTATGAAAGAAACTTGATTCAGTTGATTCAGAAGAATTTAGATAGAAGTGTTCATGATTTTCAATAGAAAATGATACCAGCAAATGAGATAGTTTTAAGAATTAGTGATTATGTAGATTGAATTTGATGACATTGCTAATATGATAATTGATTTTTTCAGTTTATCACTTATTTACAGTGATTCCATCATTCATTCACCATTATACTATGATTTACAGCTCGGCGACCGTGTCGCTGATTGAAATGGTGGAACAACCATAATCCGGTCGTGTAATAACCCTACGTTCTTCCCGTATGGATACAGGAAGGAAGTCACATGTCTCTCATGGAGAGAAAAGTGTTTTTTCTTGTTTGAGCAATGTGAGAGGAATGAGATAAATAAGGCTGAAAGAAAAATTAATTGATTGATTGAGATTGAGATGGCTTCCTTTGGTGTTATGTGGTGATCTCTATTCCTTCAAGCGTGTGAAGGTGAAGTGAGAACTGAGTTTAAAAGTGTTCGGTTCGGTTCTTCGTTGGCTGTTTTTTTTTTTTTTTTTTTTTTTTTTTTTTTTTTTTTTTTTTGTGCTCAAGGTCGTAAGGCACGAGAATCTTGTGGGAAAAGAAGGGATATTCGGGAGAATATATTGAGTGCTGGGAGGAGGGGGAGGGGCGCGGCATAGAGCTCAGAAGGGGCCCTTATTATTGTGCGCTAAATGATCGGGCTGGTGGTAGAATTAACTGGACAGGGCAAGGTCCTGATGATGAGGTCGTGGACACGGTATACTTAGGTGGGTAGATATCCAGGGGCGGTGGGCGGGCAGGTAGGTAGGTATAGGGGAATCTGGATTTTTCTGGTTGTCTCTTCGTGTTTGTGGTTGGTTTGTTATGCGGATTGATAGGCTGTCTTTTCGGGATGGTTAGTTAGTAGTTAGAAGGAGCTGGAGGGAGAGATGGAGGTGAGGACAGAAAGGCAAGATATAGTTTGATGTCATGAGCATGCTACCTCTCATGTTGTAGCTGGTTGTTTGTTTTGCTGGCGTAAGTAGATGGAGGCATCTCCCATCTGCTAGAATAAATAACCAACCACAAACACCTCTAACTAACTAACGGCCCAATAGGACCTTCGTCCCTCCTCCTTCAATCATCCGAACCCCCCCAAAATCCCCTAACCCAAACCCCCCCTTTTTGAAACCGTTTTTTTCCCCCCCCCCCCCCCCCCCCCCCCCCGACAACCGTTCCACTAGTTTCCAATACTCACTCAAACTCCCAACATCAGCCCCCCCCTCCCCCCAGGCGGGAGGGATCCTAGCCCTTAAAATCACCGTGGAGTCAGACCCACGGCTCTATCGCCCCGGGACTCACTCCTGCAAGCGGGCACAGAAGACTTCAACAATTCCGCCTTGCTATCTAGCGGATATAGAGGAAAGTCTTCCCAACGTGTGAGTGTGTGGGGGAAGCGCCGCCTCATCCTCATCCGCATACCAGTTGCGTAGTTCTCCCCCGGTGGTTAAGGAATACTGCGGGAGGGCGGGCGGGCACGTTGAGTTGAATCATATCTAATTCCTGTCCTTGGTAGATGAAAGGTGTGTAGGAGTAGTGCATTAAACCATCTTGCCACGACTACTGGGAGGAGTCTGTGATCGGTGCATTCGAGAACCCTGAGTCCTTGCTGATGAAGTTGATCACGTCAATAGGGAACCCGACCCGTTAACTCCTTTGTCAGGCCAGTGACGCACAATCTGGTGTACCTCTGCGCGTGCTTTTGGATTCTCCCAATTTAGGTCGGGTTAATTCCTTCGTGTAGAGGTGTAGTAGTATTTGTTGGATGAAGAGCACGGGCTCCCAGGCTGAGTCTGGAACATGTTAGTTCTTACGATGGATTGGTGTATCTATATATCCTGCCGTTCATATTTTCTAGAAGGGACATTGGGCATTATGCTCAATTGAGAGGAGTAAAAAATACCCCTGAGATGAGATTTCCAGTTATTGAGTCGTCAGCGACATATTTTGGGCTTTTTCCAAAATACACCAATTCATATACGGATTGTGCAGCGAGGACACCGACTGCTTGAACCATTCATGCTACCTGAACAGAAAGGTCAGCTTGATAAATCATCAAGAGAAACATGATGTACTGTACATACATATACATGGACTACAGGCTAAGCAAAACAGACGCCTGCATATAACCTGATCAGAAGTATGAGTGAAGACAAGGTCCATAACATATATCAAGCCCCAGTTATGTTAACATAGGGCTCCCACATCCTTCACCGTCCTATAGGGCGGATGGGTCTGAAAAGAAATTGGGTAGGTCCTAGCCCATATCTAGTTGCAGCAACTGGAGGATAGGCGACAACCACACAGAATCAAGCCGTAGGTCATGGACGTAGTTAAGCTCAGAGATGATTCCAGCGATGTCACCAACCCTGAAGGCTTGACCGGGTATACGCACTATATAATTCCCACCATGCTCTTTTGACGAGGTCTCTCGCATTTTCTCCCTTTATTTTTATATAGGAAATTGGCGCCGTGGTCCTCTTGTTGATGTTATTTATCAATTAGTATCTTTACACGTCACGCAATTGTACGCAGTGTATTCTGTGTAATTGTTCTGGAACTGTGAAGAAGTACTTGCCAGCCATTGACAGCCGTTACCAAGGGCCTGAGTGAGTGCATTTAGATTGGGTTTGATAACAGGGGAATCTGTGTCACGGTCCTAAAGTCAATCAATCTTTTGTAGCTGTGATACGGTGTTAGTTTCGATGATTGTGAAGTTCAAGCCCTTGATATCTTGTAATCAGATGCCAAGGCTTAGCACCTTTAGCACCTCAAATTCGTCAAAATATCGGTAGTTACCTGTCTTGGCAGCTTTTATCAACGTCAGCGATAGGTTCTGTTGGCGATATCGATGCCAGTTTCTATCACCTCTCCATTTCTTTTTTTTACTTACTCCTTACTTTTGTTCTGGCTTGTGGGCATTGAATCATGGAAGGATACCAAAGAGCCGCCTGCCTCGGACATATTCAGAATCTATCAGAAAAATAATTTCATATCAAAACAAAACCAAGCAATTATTGACTTTTCAGCCTCCTTTCCTATTTTTATCTAGGGACACAAAAGGATCCTTGGATACTTTTGCCTCAACCACGGCCATGATGACCCCTGATTCTGTGGATTTCTGGTGCTTCAGACCCAGCTGCCCCCGCCCCCGGGCCAATGAGATAGCTACAAACCAGGGCAAATGGTGGTCCGCATCCACCGAATCATTGCGTTTTTCAATCTCTAAATCACGACATCATGATGTTGGAGTTCAGAAAGCTTCTTTTTTTTGGAATTTTTTGAATTTTTTGGTTTATATGGATATGGGCACGATGATGTGCAAACTGCATTGCTGTGATTATTCCGCCTTCTGTAGGTTCAAACACGCCTTATCCCTAGACTTCTTCATAGGTCGATATTGCGTCTCTGCATTAATTATTGCATCTTCTCTCCTGAAAATACCTCAAAAATTAGTGATGGGAACGCTGGCATGAGGTCTATCTTTATCAATCTATCAGATACCGCTCGTTTCTTTTCTCGCTCGTTGTTTTATAGACCTACATATATAATTATTTTTTATCTCACTTGCTTTATCACGTCGTTCGTTTCCCCAAATAATATTCCAGCGTTACGCGTGGATTACTTTATAGACCTAAGATGCCGCCTGGTGAAAAGACTTGGTTAACCTCTGGGTTAAGGCGTTCGTCAAGCAACGAGAGCCTCAATGAAGGCTATCAGACCGGTGAGGAGGGACAGCCAGACAGTAAGTGAACGATTTGAAATTGACGAACGTGTTGGATAATATGGTACAGCTTCACTGACTAGGTCTTTAAGTAGGTGATTCTTATCAAACGAGTTCCTCCCGCCGCCAGATCGGACTCACATCGGCCGTGTTTCTCATCTTCAATCGCATGGTTGGCACCGGAATCTTTGCCACGCCAAGTAGCATCTTCGCGCTCTCAGGAAGTGTTGGATTGAGCTTGTTCATATGGGTTGCTGGCATGATCATCGCGGCCGCGGGCATGGCGGTGTACATTGAATTTGGAACCGGGCTGCCTCGAAACGGTGGAGAAAAAAACTACCTGGAATATGTTTTTCGAAAGCCACGGTTCCTCACCTCGTGCTTGTATACAGGCTACGTCGTTTTGCTAGGTGAGCGAGCCCAGCGTTCCAGTCCTCGAAACAAAGGGCACCCGCCTATAACTAGTCCTGCCCTTGCTGACTAGTTAATTAATAGGTTGGGCAGGATCAAATTCAGTCGTATTTGGCGAGTACATCTTACACGCAGCCCAGATCGAGGTAAACCGATGGAACCAGCGAGGCGTCGGACTTGCTTGCATCACAGCCGCCTTTCTAATCCACGGCCTTGCGATGAAATGGGGATTGCGACTGCAGAACCTTCTGGGCATAATCAAGCTCCTTGTTATCATCGTAATCGTTGTTGCCGGCTGGGCCGCCCTTGGGGGAGCGCTAAAAGTCGAAAAGCCCAACAATTTTGAGAACGCTTTTGAGGGAACCACAGGAAGCGCATATGGAGTGGTCACCGCGCTGTACAATGTCATATGGAGCTTCATCGGGTACAGCAATGCCAATTATGCGTTGAGCGAGACGAAAAATCCAGTGAGGACGTTGAAGATCGCTGCTCCTCTAGCGCTAGGGCTCGTGTCGATTTTGTACATCTTGGTTAATGTATGTGGAGTCCTTTTCCCCTAACCCTCCCTTCCGCCAAAATGTGATTGATTTCCCTGCTTACCACAGTTGATGAATAGGTTGCGTATTTCGCTGCGGTCCCAAAGGAAGAAATACTTTCCTCCGGCCGTGTGCTTGCGGCATCTTTCTTTCGAAATGTCTTCGGCCCTCAAGCCGAAAGAGCACTGTCCGTCTTCGTCGCGCTGTCGGCATTCGGCAACGTGCTCAGCGTCATTTTCTCGCAGGGCCGCTGTATGTCGTTTCCCCGAACCTTTCACCATCAATTTGTATAATTTAGACAGTGGGGCTAATATCATGTACAGTGGTTCAAGAACTTGGCCGCGAGGGAATCCTTCCCTTCTCTCGACTCTGGTCGAGCAATAAACCTTTCAACGCGCCATTTGCAGGCCTGTTCGAGCACTGGGTTGTTTCTGTCGTTATCATGTTAGCACCTCCGCCGGGCGATGCCTACAACTTCATTCTTAAGTCCGTCCCACGAAACCGCCCCTTAGACACCATCCCTTGAAGTATGAAGTATATCAGCTAACACCTAACTCCACAGCGTAATCTCCTACCCCCTCTCCATAATCAACACCTTCGTCGCGGCCGGCCTTATCCACCTCTACCTCAACCGCGCCAAATACAATTGGAACCCGCCCGTCTCCGCAACGCTACCGGTGGTAATCTTCTTCCTCCTCAGCAACATGTATCTCGTCATCGCCCCCTTCGTGCCGCCAACGGGCGACCAGAACGTTTACGATGAGCTCCCTTACTACCTCCACTGCCTCGTGGGAATTGCGATTGTGCTCGCCGGCGGCGTTTACTGGCTCATCTGGGCACAGTTGATGCCGCGGCTGGGCAGGTATCGGTTGGAGAGGAAGGTTGTTCTGGGCGAGGACGGGTGGACGAGGAATGTGTTTACGAAGAAGTATCTTGCCTGATCGGCGGGAATGCTTTATTGGGAGATTTTTTTACCTCTACTACCTCGTTTCCGTTTTTCTTTTTACATATTGGCTGCGCTGCTGTATGCGGCACGGTATTGCATTGCATTGCATGGCGTTTCATTTTTCTTTCTTTCTTTCTTGTTTGCTTTGAGCGGGCGTTTCCCCTTCATTAATATTCTAATAACATTTGAGATACCATTTAGCCGTATATGAAGGATATCTACAGTTAATGATTAATCTGGATAAGACGGGGGCGTCATGTTTATAGCTTTTAAAAGTTGATATACCCAGTTGGGCAACCACTGTTTCGTGTTTGACTGATCGCTACTGGAAACCCTTATATCGCAATGAACTCCACAACTTTCCCGGAGACGTCATTGGACCCCCCCCCTTGTTTTTTTTACCGTAGAAGGTAAAAATAAATTAGATTATTTGTCTCAGCTTTGTTCCTCATTGTTCTAGAAGGATGATGCGGCCGGTTGGCTTTTTTTTTTTTTTTTTTTTCCATCACTAACTAATTGGCTATGGTTGTGGCTTGAGATCCCCCCCCCCCCCCCCCCCCAAAAAAAAAAAAAAAAAAAAAAAAAAAAAAAAAAAGGTATAGTGCACGGTGATGAGTGCTTAGATTTCAGCTTTTTTCCTCTGGACATCTGAGCACTTCCACCGTTCCACGAGATCTCCACTGTGACAAGCTTACCGCAGAACTGATTTTCTATATTTTCATTATTCTTCTCAACCACTACTTTTTACCTCCAGTTTTTTTTTATGTATTAATGAATGGAAAGCCAATTGCTGAGCCGTGCCTTATAATTTAGTGCGGCCGTCCCTATCAAAAAGAGGGGACTACCGTACTCAGTATAAATTGCTGAGAATAGGTAGCAGCACTCCGGAGAAGCGAAGCCCTTCCCGCTCCGCCCACAAAATCCTATTTGCGCATTTTTTCTTTCCTCACGCCCGAGCCGGACGGACGGGCGCGCGCCGGGCGGGGATAAAAGGGTGGTGACAACTGGATTGTGCGGTGCTACGATGCTAATTTGCCGGCTTGCAGCAGCAAGAATAATGGGTGTTACTCAAGTTAGAATAATCATAAATAAGCAGGGCGGAGTGTGCTCGGGCGATTTTGTTTAGCGGCGGGAATTCGCATCCTCTAACAGCAGCGGGTGGGTGGATTTTGCAAGAAAGTAACTATGTGGGTTTAAAAAACCACCATAAAGTCATAAAACCACAATATGATATAGAAAGAATTATGTAGAATAATGACTAAGCCGATTCAATCTCGTGCAATGAGTAGAAAATCCGACCACAGGGAATGAAGCTCATTTCAAAGGTCGGTTGTTTCATCAATCATTATACGAAGGATCCAAGGGTCCTCTCAAAAGTTTTGATTAGCGCTAAGAATTTAAGATACTGTTATCATTCCATTCTCCAGCCCCTGGGATTTAGGCTAGCTTTAGTTAAGCTGTCGCTGGTTATTCAGGTGCCACAGACATTAACCTCCTTAAGAAAAGGGAATGGGAATACTTTATGCCTGTAACAAAGTTACACCTTAAATTCTTAGTGCTTAACTACCAAGACTTTGGAGAGGATCCTACGGAGTACTGCTTGGCAAGTTGGCATATGCATGTGGGGATTTGAAGCGGGCAAGAGACAAGTATCTGTTCTGCTAGTTCTCATAGACAGATCCTTATACATAGATATGGGTGAATCTCTCGTTATTAATAATACTGATCTTCTGTTGCTCCTCTAAGCTCTATCCGTTGTCAAAGGGATGTTCTGAACTGTAACTAACTGGTAGGTAGGCACAGTAAGTTGTGAACCTGCAGCTGACAGGCGGGGTGTGATGCTTTTGCAGCCTCAACTCCGCTTCCACAACCACAACCACTCACTCCTCACATCCTGCACCACCACCACCACCACCACCACCAACCACCACACACCACTACCACTAACTACTAGTTACCACCAACATCTAGTGCACTCTTGCTCCCAGTCTCAACCCCGTAGTACCTCACGCGCATATCTGTAACTAACGATGAGACTTGTCCCACGTCTAACTTTGGCGAATAGGTTCCTCATCCTCGTGAAGCTTGCTCCACAGCGAGCTGGTCTGATATACTTCGCTCCTGCGCTAGCTACTGCTACCCATCCCATCCGTTACCCCGATACACCCCCAGGCGCGTTGCCTCAGGCTTATCTCCTCCCCCTTACGGCGCACCTTGTCGAGTTATCTTGTCGGTCACAGACTCTCTCACCCAAGCGTTGGCCGGTCCTCTTCGGTGTTTTCTTCCCCAAGAGGTGAGCTCTCTCCTCCCTCATCGGTTCCTCCGCTTGGCTTGAGCGTCATCCACGCACCTCCTTCAGCCCCGTCATCCCCCCTCCCCCAACCTCACGTGTTCCGGGGTTGCCTGCTGCTGCCCTCTGGTATCATTCTCCCAGGTCGTGGGGTTAACTGCGGGAAGCGCCAGTAGTGTATCGCTCTTTGTTGCTGTTCGTATATATAGCACAGACCTTCATTCTCCCACTTTCTATTCCCCATCTCATCTGGTTCTAGGCTACTGCGTACAGGGAGAAAATATCGCGGATCTGCCATCTTTTCCGGACCAGGCACTTTACTTATACTGTCTTTGTAAAAAGGGATCATGTCCACTTTGCCTCTTTTCACTCTTCTACTTTTGCCAGAATTTTAAACTGCCTCGATGCCGTCTTATTGTTTGCAAGATTGCCACTATTTCTACCGCAGTGCCCTGCGACTCCTTTCAATACCCACCCTCCTTGCCTCTCGTTACGCTTAGAACCCCCCCCCCCCCCCTTTGGTTTAATGCTAGCGCTTTCTTTTTGCTAACCAGTTGAAAAAAATAATGATGTCATACTCCACCTTGGCAGTCCGGTTCTTTACTAAGCCCAAACCCTTAGGGGAGACTCTGGCTGAAGACGCAAAGTCGAAAAACCCCAAACTTCCAAACGGAATTTCGGAGGCCAAGGGAACGCTTCGAAGCGCCATGGCTGGAGCGGAGGATGCGAACTTCAACTCCAACTCGGATCCCAACTCTAACCCGCCTCAGACGGTCCACAAAGGCATAACCTTTGCAAACCAAGACTCGCTCCCCAAGCTCCCGATCCCAGATCTCGAAACCACATGCACCAGATATCTGGAGTGTCTGGCTCCTTTACAGTCCGCTAGGGAGCAGGAGGAGACGAGAGCCGCTGTACACGAGTTTCTCAGGACAGACGGCCCGGAATTACAAAATAAGCTGAAGAAATATGCTACGTCGAAGTCGAGTTATATTGAGCAATTTTGTGAGTTTATTCTAACATTCGATGTATTTATTGTTGCTTTATGTGGCGACTCCAGAAAAATTATTGACCTATTTTTTTCAGGGTACGATTCTTATTTGAATTATGACAATCGTAAGTTTCCTCCTGGAAACATGGTTTCTTTTTCGGCAGTACTGCGGCGTGGATCGAAGAGATATGCGGCTAACACTTAGGTAGCTGTTGTCCTCAATCTCAATCCATTTTTCCTCTTGGAGGATGATCCCACTCCTTCCAGGAACAACCAGGTCACTCGCGCAGCGTCGTTGGTAGTGTCCGCGCTATCGTTCGTTCGAGCTGTTCGAAGAGAGGAGTTGGCTCCCGATATAGTCCGTGGGAAACCACTTTGCATGTTTCAATATTCGAGATTATTTGGCACAGCACGAGTCCCAACGGAGAATGGGTGCATCATTGGTCAAGATTCGGCTGCTAAACATATGGTGGTCCTATGCCGAGGCCAATTTTACTGGTTCGACGTTCTTGACGAAAATAATGACCTTCTTATGAGTGAAAGGGATATCTCTCTTAATCTTCAAGTAATTATCGAAGATGCAGAGCAGACGCCAATCCAGGAGGCTGCTAAGGGGGCGCTTGGCGTGCTCAGTACGGAGAATCGGAAAATCTGGTCAGGCTTGAGAGATATCCTGACCAAAGATCCGGGATCTAACAATGCGGAGTGTTTGAATATCGTCGATACTGCTCTATTTGTTTTGTGTCTGGATTCTACAGAACCGTCAAACACTGCTGAGCTATGCGCCAATATGCTATGCGGGACCAATGAGGTGGTGAAAGGTGTACAGATAGGAACCTGCACAAACCGATGGTATGACAAGCTGCAGATCATCGTCTGCAAGAACGGTAGTGCCGGGATCAACTTTGAACATACTGGTGTCGACGGTCATACTGTGCTCCGATTCGCCAGTGACGTCTACACCGACACGATCCTACGGTTTGCCAGGTCGATTAACGGCCAGGCCCCTAGTCTGTGGGCAACCACAAGCCCTCCACCATCAAAGCGCAGCCCCGAAAGTTTTGCATCGAATGTAAGCACAACCCCACACAAACTCGAGTGGGACATGGGCCCGGAACTCAGCATCGCCCTTCGATTCGCCGAATCGCACCTTGCGGATCTATTACATCAGCACGAATTTCAAGTCCTCGACTTTAACGGCTACGGGAAGAATTTCATCACCTCAATGGGCTTCTCGCCTGATGCATTCGTTCAAATGGCGTTCCAAGCCGCTTACTACGGCCTCTACGGCCTAGTAGAGAATACGTACGAGCCAGCGATGACCAAGTTCTTCCTCCACGGGCGCACGGAGGCAGTCAGAACCGTATCCCACGAATCCGTCGAGTTTGTGCGAACGTTCTGGGACGAGCGTCCCGCAGCGGAGAAAGTAGCGGCCCTCCGAAAAGCTACAGAAAAACACACCGCAGTTACCAAGATCTGCTCGCAAGGCAAGGGTCAAGACCGACATCTCTACGCCCTCTACTGCCTCTGGCAGCGCTCCTTCGATGATGGACCACCGAGTGCGAACGGCTATTCGAGCCCCGTCGAGAATGGTTCAAAGGTCGACCCCTCTTCGCCGCTACCAGCACAGGGCTCCACCACCGTCTCCCGCCCATCTTCCTCATCTGGCGACGGCGTATCCTCCAGTTACTCCACCAGCAGCTCGCGCAACATCCGTCTCCAACAACTCGCCCACACCCCGGCCCTCTTCAACGACGCCGGCTGGGACAAAATCAACAACACGATCCTCTCCACTTCCAACTGCGGCAACCCCTCGCTGCGCCACTTCGGCTTCGGCCCCACCTCCGGCGACGGCTTCGGCATCGGCTACATCATCAAAGATGACTCGATCTCCATCTGCGCCTCGTCCAAGCATAGACAGACAACCCGCTTCATCCAGTCCCTCGAAGCGTATCTGTACGAGATTCGCAAGCTGCTGCGCTCGACGCAGCACAAACCCGTCGTCCCCAGTAGTGTGCGCGAGCGGCAGATGGATGCGGAGGCTCGCAGTGCGCCGCTGGCGGTGACGCTTGGAGAGCGGGTGAAGGGAAAGGGAAGGATGGTGAGGGTTGCTCCGCAGCATGTGGTTGGTGGGGGGAGGGGAGGGGAGACGCCGATGACGGATAGTGCGGAGGCGGAGGCGGAGGATGATGGGATGGGTGGATGTAAGTTCAAAAAAATCTTTACTTTCTTTCCTTCTCTGTCAGGCTTCTTTGCGTCGTTGTTATGAATACTAACTGGGGACTCCTTTACATATAGATGGGTTCTTCGATGCCGGGATGCTGCTATATGCGCTTAAGGGGCTGCAGGCAGATAGAGATCGGGATAAGCCTCCGAAGCGGAAGCTGGTAGGGAAGGTGTTGAAGTTGAATGAGTATTGATTGATTGACTGATTGGTTGGTTGGTTTTGATTATGTTGATTGTGTCTTTTGGTTTTCGGCTTTGATGTGATGATGACCATATTAATATAAATATTGCATATCACTACCGGGCATCATTGGTCTTGTTTCTTGCTTGACTTGCTCTGCAACAGTACATAGCATAGGTTTTACATCTTATTGTAGCATACCAAATAATATCTATATATATATACTCTTTCTCCGTTAGATTATCGGTTTACTTTATTATTTTCCTCTCTAGTTTTCCGTGTAGCAATAGTAGTACACTATAGTACAGTACAGCACAGCACAGCTTATGCTACGATTAGAATGAATAACTAACTACCCCGTCAGGCTGGTGATGAATTCAATGGCTGGCGCGGCATCTGCATCGTTATGTCTATTCAGCTGGGAATTGGTTCGGGGCCGTTTCAAGAAGACGACGTCCGCCTCGAATCTCAAGATCGGCAGGGGCTTCTGTCTTCAATTTCCTCCCCGAGAGAGAGGGGGAGAGAGATGGTCCTTTTTTCTTTCTTTCTTTCTTTCTTTCTTTCTTTCTTTCTTTCTTTCTTTCTTTCTTTCTTTTCTTTTCTTTTCCCTTTTCCCTTTTCCCTTTTGCCCCCTTTTTTCTTTTGGGGCCGGGGGGGGGGGAGCGTTCTTACTTGCCACACACTCTCTGGCATTGATGTTGGTACTGGTATTTGGTATATTAATTTATTTTTTTAAAAAGTTCTTCTGAAGTCTCAGACAGAATGAATTTGAAAAGAGCAGTTCTGTGCCTTTAATAAAATAAATTAAAATAATAATAGAGTGAAAAAAATAAATAAATAAATAAGACAAGGAGAAAAAAAAAAAAAAAAAAAGAATCGACACGGACAAGATTCGAACTTGCGCACCCGAAGGTATGAGATGATCGTATCCAGTGGCCGCGGAAACCTCGACAGTTCTGCGGCGGATTCAAGTCTCACGTATTAACCACTCTACCACCGTGTCAAGTTGCGGATGTCTTGTGGGCCCGCTGAGTGGTATTTATCCGCTAGCTCTGCCAACTCGTTTTGTCTTTTGGGTGTGGTGGCGAGGGAGGCAAACTTTTGAGTAAATTTTTGTGTAAATTTAACTACTACAGAACAGAAATATTGAATTAAAATAAGAGAAAATGTGCTGTCTGGTATAAATAGAGAAACACAGAATAATTCTAGTGATATACAGTTAGACTGACTGTGTGATTATATCTGAGATCAGATGTAGCATCTACTCTTGCTACTTTTCAGAGCTTCTACTTTCATTCTTATTTCTCTTATTCAGAAGCTTCACCTCTATTTCACTATTCTCAGAGGCTTTCACTTCTTCCTCTATTCTACTATTTCTCAGAGCTTTCACTTCTTCCTTCTTTCACTCCCAATCACTTCTTCTGTTGACTCAATCATGATAAACAAACAAGTATGAATATATATATAGGAGTGAGTGCTCACTCATCTCCATCTGAAGGGGAATAAGAGAGATTTTACCGTACGCTGCAATTCTACACGTAGCTGGCGTACGCCCCAGTCTAGTCACCAGTGTTGCGTCTTCTCGAAGGCGGAGCGGAATTTAAGGGGACAGAGGATCTGATTCTTAACTAGACATGCTACCAAATTGCGGCGTACGCCAGCTACATGTAGAATTGCAGCGTATGCCAGCTATGTATAGTCCATGTAAAGTGGTAAAATCTCTCTTATTCCCCTTCAGATGGAGATCAGCAGGTGTCCCTATATATATATACATGCTTATTCATTTAACATGATTGAGTCAACAGAAGAAGTGATTGAGAGTGAAAGAAGAAACAAGTGAAAGCTCTGAGAATTAGTGGAATAGGGGTGGAGCTACGGGATAGGGGAATAAGGATGGAGCGGAAGCTCTGAGAAGTAGCAAGAGTGAATGCCATAGTCCCCTTGTCTGATGGAAAACATGAAACGCCGCGGGCGCGCCAACACTCCATGACGGTCTCCTGTTCTTCGCTAACGATCGCCTCTATATTACACAAACCTTGGCTGAAGATCTCATTCGCTTGTAAGTTGTGCCACGATGCGGCCGGACGCCCCAGGCTTCATTGAACAGAAGACATCGTGCGCCAATCCTTCTTCTTACCTTACAGTTGTAAATGAATCCTTGATCAAATCTCACAATCTGAAGACTTATGTATAAATATTCATTCAAATCTATCTTAAGAACCTATGTCAAGAAATTTCAAAGACATCTGTTTTCAAGATTAATCTTGATAATCTCATTAATGATCTCATCTGCTACAAAACAGTTATTAGATTAAATGATAATAAAAAGAGAATATCAGTAAAAGAAGTTAAAAAGAAAAAGAGTAAGAATACTGAAAAGACTAAAGAAACAGATAAGCTTAAGAAATAGCAGTTTACAGATAATTAAAGAGAAAACATCTTCTATATTTAACAGAAAAATATATTTAACTTAGATTTTAAATGTAAATATTACAGTTACTGAGATTATACTGAAACAGTTTATATAAGAGATTTATGCTAAATAGATCAGTATTAAGATATAGGTTCTATATAATAAAAGTAAAAAACATTAGAAAAGGAAAAAAAGAGAAAGTATAAGAATTAATAATCAGAGTAAATATTTATACATATATAAGATAAAGTTTTAAAGTAGAAGAATAGAAACTTTATATCAGAGCTTTCAAACTGAGAATTAATTAGTAACTAAGAATCAGAGCTTTTAGTAGAAATCTATAAAGTGTAATAAAATAGTCTATATAATTAATCAGATATAGTTTATTATATTAATTCTCTCTTTCTGAAAGTAAGTATAGTTCTTATCAGTTAAAAGTCACTGTATTAAATAGTGCTAGACTGACTGCTAAAACTATGAATTTCATATTTAATCTTATTTAATCTAATCTTATACATTTCTTAATATGAATTTCACTGAGACTAATTATTAAAAAAACATGCAAAGTGACTATATATCAGATCTTAAAATGAGATTATAACTTAGAAAAAATAAGAAAGTAATCTTATTTAATTTTATTTAGTCTCATTCTTAGTATAAAGTTACTATTTTTAGACATTTTAAGGTTTTTTTAGACTATTTTTAATTTTTTAAAAAGTGTGGTATTCACTCTTACTACTTTCTGAGACTTCTGTCTCTTTCTTTCTGAGACTTCTGTCTCTTTCTGAGACTTTCATCTCTTTCTTTCTGAGACTTCTGCTTCTTTCTGAGACTTTTATCTCTTTCTTCTGTATAGCTTCTGTCTCTTTCTTTCTGAGACTTTCATCTCTTTCTTTCTAAGGCTTCTGCTTCTTTCTTCTGTAAAAGTCAATCACAATAAACAAATAAGCATGTATATATATATATATAGAGGTGTCTGTCCATCTTCATCTTGAAGAATAAGACAAGATTTATCTTTTTACATGTATAATATGTGATTGATATACACTACAGATAATGTATGCTGCAATTTGATAGTATATCTTATTAAGAACAAGATTCTCAGTTCTCTTAGATTCTGCTTCATCTTTAAAAGATATAACACTGATAATTGATCTGAGTTATAGATAATAAAGTTCAGTTAACTAATAATTGATCTGATTGATTTCTCTACATTCTTTTCATCTTTAAGAAGATATAACACTGATAATTGATCTGAGTTATAGATAATAAAGTTCAGTTAACTGATAATTGATCTGATTAACTACTCTATCTTTTTTTAACACTGTAGCTGATAATCAGTTCAGTTGTGATAGACTTACTCTATACATATTTATTACACACTGCAATGAAGCAGAACAGACATCTCACTAAAAGCAGCTTCTATCAGTTACTTCACTTCACTGAGCTGAATAAGTTCACTGAGAAGTGAGCTTTCTATGAATCTGCTCAGAGATCTGATACTGAGTGTGCTTACTTGTAGACAGCAGTAGAGAAACACACTGTTATAATCACAGAAATCTGACAGAATATAAATGAATAATATGATAGTATCAAGAACTAAGTCATATTATATAACTGTGTTAAGACAGAGAGCATTCTTATAAAAGTGTCTATCAGATATTATAACAATATTAAGATAACTCTTGACTCAGTTTCTGTTATAAAATGAAAGAATATTATTAATTCTTAACTACAGACTTTCTGTACAGAGGTCACAAAGTATATGAAAGAAAGAGAATTAATAGCTTCAAGCTATGTTAAGTTTAATGATCAGAGTCATGTCTCTTCTGATAAAGTCACTGTATTAGATATAATTAAGAAGTTGAAGTAACTGAAGTCTCAGCTGACTCAGTGAGAAAACAAGCTAGATGAGTGTAAGCACTGACTTAATCAGTAGCAGAATCAGCTGAATAAGTGTATCACTCTTATTAATAAGTGTATTAATAAGCTTCAGAACAATCTTCAGTATTTAATAGATGAAAGAAGTTGACTGATAGAGATATAAAGCAACTTCTGTATAGAGAAAGCAGCACTTACTACTCAGAGATAAGAGTAATAGCATGAAAATCAACAGCAGCAGAAACAACTGACTCAAGTTAAAGATGATGATTCTCTCACTGAATTCTTCTGATAACTGAATATCTTATTTGATGAAGGCTTCAAATCATCTTCTAGAGCTCTGCAGACATCTGCAATCTTAAGAGAGCTGTGTGATGCTGAGTGAGATGCATTCAGAGACAGAATCTGTCACTTAAATATAATGAGAGATAGATTCAATTTCATATAAGAGACAGACATTTCACACTTCATCTATGATATAGAAGAGAATCAAGTCTGTAGAGAGTAAGTATCTACAGTACTCTTAAAGAGAGAGGCCTGTCTTATCTATAATCATGATGACTTTCTGCTAGATAATAGATCTCATTCATTCTCATGATGAATCAGTGATGTGATCTGCTACACTGAAGATGATAAATAAGAATATCTGATATGACTGAGAGCAGATGATATTATACTGTTTGATCTGATGAAAGCAGATATAATGATGTTCATCAGTCATCTAGAGTTTATCATCATATAGAAGAGAGAGAATACAGTACTCTGAGTCTTTTTATTATACTTAAAGAGACAGGTATTAGAATGACACAACAGTCTGTCTACAGAAATAAGAAAGAATATAAGTACTTCTCTTCTCATCATAATTAGTGAGCTGAGATGAGAATTTCAGCTATTGAAGAGAAAAGCCTGAATAAAAGCTCAAGAACTGCATTTCTTCTTTGAGAAGTCAGATGAGCTGTCATTAACACTGTATATCTCATAGAAGATTAACTTGCTATAAGTCATCTCAATCTCTGACTTTACAATGATGAAGAGACTTCTATAAGAAGAGTTGAAGTTAAATCTATCTCTAATCACATCTCTTATTTTTATCAAGTATCTGAATAACTTCTGAAGAAGAATTAGAGATAATAAGTCAGTTACTCAATATACTTAGACTGATTAAAGAACTTAATTCACTGAATATATATAAGACTTTAGATGAATTGATTAAAATAATAATCACTGCTCTTATCAGACTCTCTTGATCAGATTATATATAAAAACTATCAAGCTATCTGTGTCTGCTGTGAACTCTATAGTGACTCTCTTCACAAGCATCTCTGCAGTGAGTAGACTGCTGATTAGATATGTAGAGAGTAAATCATCAGCATCTGCAGCAGAGTGCTATATATGCAGAGACTCTCATTACACTAACTACTATCTCAGAAAAGAGAACCTAGTAAATCAAGTTGAATGAGAGAGTGATAGAGAAGAGAATGATAATCTATTACAACTAGATCTCAGTCTAGATTCTGACAGTGAGTTAGAAAAATAGATAATAAGTCAGATACTGAGAGATCTGTCTTATTCACAGATACTCTCTCAGATAATTATCTGAGTATATTTAACACTGATATATACACTATCACAGTATGTGATATTCTCATAAGTGATTGAGAATATATTAGTGAACTGTAGTACTTATTCTACATCTTTTTTATTATTCT